ACACATTGGAAACTTTACATTCTGACTAACCCGCTGGGACTCTATCTCTGGTTATCCCTCTGTTCCTTTTCTCTGCTGTGACTTCTTCGTCCAGCAGTAAGAACCCGGCCCCCATTTCCCTCGGCCTGTTTGCTCACGACATCAATTCCTTCCAACGATTCCTGTCTTGTGTTGTCCCTACCGTCCTTCCTCCCCAGCCTTTCCACTTGGGTTCTGGTGTTGCGGATTCTTTGAAAGTGATGGCAAAGCCTTTTCCAGTTTTTAGTAGACTTAACTCTGAGGAGCCAGAGTGCCAACCACTGGCCATTAGAGCCGCCTGAAACTAGTGGCTTCTGCGTTGGACAAGAAGAAGAGTGAATGTAGACTTATTAAAGAAAGGGGAGAGTGAAGTCCCCAGAGTGGGAAGGGCTATGGCGAAGCGGTATTGGCATGCTGCTCTGTCTTGTTGTCCTTTATGGGTCTTATGATGGGAAGCGGATGGAGACTGAGTAATATCTCCTGGAACTGGACATATTTATTTGTGTGTTTTTGTTTTTTGAGACAGGATTTCTCTGTGTAGCTCTGGCTATCCTGTCTAGATCAGGTTGGCCTTGAATTCAGAGGTATCCCTGCCTCTGCCTTCCTAGTGCTGGGATTAAAGGTGTGTGCTACCACTGACTAGGATAAATGGTGATTTTTTTTTTTTAGTTTATTGAGGCTGAGCCAGGAAAGAGTCCATGTGTTCTATGTGTGCACCATAGGCCCAACACAATTACTCCTCCATTCAAGGGAGCAGTCATGTATGTGCACTATGTGGCTAGCTCTTGATCCACCATGATCAACCATGGCCCCTGCCCTTACTTCCTAAAGGACACTCTCCTGTCTCACTGACATCCTGCGCTGGGTCATGCACAATGGGAAAGCTCTCCTGTGCTCTCAAAGAGTTAAATACTTTTTGCCATAGACAGCTCCTTCCTCTGTACATGCTGGTAACCATGTTCCCGGGCCTTGGCATCCTGAACAGTACCATGTCCAGCTGATGCTCTCCACACCCCACACAGATTCCTACACCCTGGCCAGGCTACCTTGCTATGCAGATGCTATCCTTGCCCGCACTCGGGCTCAGACACCATGCACAGCTGTCCACACATTAATTATTATAACCATAGTGAAACTTTGTTAGATTTCTCCATGATAATTAGGACCAAGACAAAAATGCTGCTATCGTTATTTCTAATAAACATTACGCTGAGATCAGAGCTAAAAATAAAAGACATTGAGATGGAATAGAGGAAATAAAATGTGTTTACTATTCAGAGTTTACAGGATTTTGTTTAAGAAAAGTAAAAAAAAAAGATTGCAGAAAAATCAATAACGAATGCAGCAAAATCACTAGATACAAGGTCAATATTTTTTAAATTGTGTTTATAAATATACTACAGTAAAACACTTTAACATTTTAATGATATCATTAGCATCAAAATATGCATTACCAGAGAGGTCTGATACTCAGGAAACTGAGGCAGAAGGCAAGAGAATCAAAAGCTCAAGGCCAACCCCAGTAACTTAGCGGGATTCATTCTTAAGGTTTGTAAACAAAGAAAGGAGCTGCATCAACTGGTGCTGCACCCTAGAGTGCTTCCCTAGCAAGTGTGAGCTACTAGATAAACCTAGATGCTAACTAGAAAACCTGGTGCACCTGGCACATAGATGCACACATGCACACACACACAAGGGAGTGAGGGGGTGATGGTTAACAATCTCAATCATTTAAAATTGTTTGTATATGTTAAATAAATATATTGTTGATTTAAAAAGAAATAAATCTATATATTGCTGCGGGAAGGTTTACAGCTTGTAACTACCCATCTACTGGGGTGTGGCCTTTAAAAACAATCTGTCAGTTATTCTAGGCCTTAGCCAAAGTTGATTGCTTCAACGTTACAAACGTGACTTTGGGTGACTGCCCAGGTAGCCAGTTGTCTCTGTGATTTGTTGCATGTTTTGGAAGTTGTTTGATTGCACTTCCTAATTACTCAGGTAACATTATTTCCCTTCTCAGATCTTCGATGCGGTTGAAGACTAGATAATAGTAGTTACTTTCCTCTCATGACTTGGCTAAGTGATTTATTATACAAGACTTAAGCTAGCTAGAATAGGATATTTGTTCTTATTGTATATAATTTTGTATTAGGTTTAGAACTCTTTTATTTAAACAAAAGGGGGGAGGTGCTGCGGGAAGGTTTACAATTAGGAACTACCTGTCTACTGGGGTGTGGCCTCATAGACTATTTACCCAGATGTGGAAGCCCTCTTCTCTCATCCCCCTGGTTACCACTTGGCTAGTCAGATTGTTTGGATCTCATCTCCATCTGCCATTCAAGCAGAGAATCCTGGTTTTGTAAGTTTTCCCCCTAAATAAATAACGGTCTATCTCTCAATTCTGAGCCAGTGTGAGATTTCTTTTAAGCGCCCGATTTCTCCGTCCATCAATATATAGGGAAATGCTGCCCCCCCCAGCAAAAAAAAAAAATCAAAGTAGTCTAAGTAAAAGGAGGGTGAAGTAAACCACATTAGTAGACAATTAGACGTGAGTGCTAATTTTCCCCAAATTTATCAGTTGATTAAATAATATGCTGAATAAAATCTCAGGGGCTGTTTCAAGAGAGATAGGCTAATTCTAAAATTTCCCTGGAAATCAGAACCAAACTGCAAAGATGACATTGAAGGGCAGGAAGCTGGATTTAGCAATGCATGGCTGCAAGCTCGACTCTAAGGAAGCCAGGCCACGTTACAGAGCTACAGAGCGACCCTGCGCCCACCAAAAATAAAGGGGAGGGAGGGAAGGAGGGCAGGAGGGAAGAGAGAGGAAAGAAGAGAGGGAGGGAGGAAGGGAGGGAGGGAGGGAGGGAGGGAGGAGAGAGGGAGGGAGGGAGGAGAGAGGGAGGGAGGGAGGAGAGAGGGAAAAAGAGAAAAAGAGAGAGGGCGACAGATGGTTAATCTACCAAATATCAAGACTTATTAATCAGTAAAACATTGATATTGTGATATTAGTTCAAGGGACAGTAGTGTAATAGAGAATAGAGAGTCCATAAATGATCCCCAAATTTGTGGGTGTTTAGTTTATCCCCTGGTATGTGGCAAATATCCCCAGCACTTGGGGGACTGAGGCAGGATGGTGGTAAGTTCAAAGCCAGCTTAGTCTGCATAGTGAGTCCTATCTCAGATGACTCAAGGAGCCAGGGAGATGGCTCAGCTAGTCAAGGCACTTGCTGCCACGCCTGATGACCCGAGTTTTGTCACACAGTGGATAAAGAGAACTCCTACAAGGTGACCTCTGACTTGCAGATGCACAAGCCACAGCATCTCCCCCAGATAAATAAATATATGGAACAAAACCCTTAAAAATAGGCTGTTCCAGTGCTCTGGGGATTAGTGTTTAATTTCGTTTGTTTTCGCAATGAGTGCTGCTGGAGTAATTATAAATTTAATGTCTACCTCATACCACAGGCAAAAATCTATTATAGATGGGTCAGAGAGTAAAACATCCCTCCCAACACTGAATCCAAGGCCTCCCACTTGCTAAGCAATGTGTTCCATCACTGACTTCCACCCTCAAAATAGAGTAAAACTTCTCTAAGGTAACAAAGGAAGATGGATATTCTTATGCCTTGAAAGAGACAAAGACCTCCTGAACAGAATACAAAAATCACTAAGACTATGTGCTTTGTAAGTCGAACTATGCACACTGTAACAACTTCCATTGGTCACAAGTTCCATCTGAGGGCTGGGGATACAGTCAAATGGAAGAGTGTCTGCCTACTCTGTGAGGCCCCAGGTTTAATCCTCAGTACTGGCTGGGGGTGGGGGGATAATCATTCCAGACATCCTATTTTAGAATTATAAAAAGAATGCATAGGATCTGGAGAGACCGCTCAGTCAGGAAAACGCTATACAGCATGGACCTGAGTTCGGATCCCCAGCATCCAAGTAAAGATTGGGTGTGGTGGTGCATCTATAATCCTAGCACTGGGGAGGTGGAGACAGGAGGATCCCTGGAACTTGCTGTTCAACCAATCAGTGAGCTCCAGATTCAATGAATGAGACACAGCCTCAAAAATAAGGTAGTGGGGGGCTGGAGAGATGGCTCAGAGGTTAAGAGCATTGCCTGCTCTTCCAAAGGTCCTGAGTTCAATTCCCAGCAACCACATGGTGGCTCACAACCATCTGGAATGAAGTCTGGTGCTTTCTTCTGGCCTTCAGTCATACACGCAGACAGAATATTATATACATAATAAATAAATATTAAAAAAAGGTAGTGGGCCAGAGATGACTCAGCAGTTTAGAGCACTTGCTCTTGCAGAGGACCCAGGTTCAATTGGTAGCACCCTCATGGTGGCTCAGAACCATCCATAACTCCAGTTCCAGGGGACCCAGTTTCCTCTTCTGAAGAGGAATACACATGGTGCATATACACTCAGGTAAAACATTCATACACATAAAATAAAATAAAACTTAAAAATAGGCTGAGAAACAATAGAACGGTACATCCAGCATCACTTTTGGCCTTCACACACTTGCAAGCTTGTGCGCATGGGACCTGCATGCATATAAGTGAGCACATATATGTGCATCCACCACCCACACACCAAAAACAAACAAACAAACAAAAATGAAAGAAGAAGAAAGAAAGGAAGGAAGGAAGAAAGAAAGAAGAGAAAAGATAAAAAGAAAAGAAAGAATAATAAATCAGAAAGGGTTGGGCAGCGGTGGCACACACCTTTAATCCCAGCACTCAGGAGGCAGAAGCAGGTGGATTTCTGTAAGGATTTTGTTATTGTTGTTAATTTATTTATTCTTAATTTATATACCTTGATATTTCGCCTGAATTTCTGCGTGAGGATGTCAGATCTTGGAGTTACAGATAGCTGTGAGCTGCCATGTGGGTGCTAGGAATTGAACCCAAATCTTCTGGAAGAGCAGTCAGTGCCCTTAACCGCTGAGCCATCTCTCTAGCCCAATCTCTCTGAGTTTAAGGTCAGCCTGGTCTACAAAGTGTGTTCCAGGACAGTCAGAGCTATATAGTGAGACTTTGTCTCAAAAAATAAGATGAAAAACCCAACCCGACTTTTACAATGAGGTAAAAGACTTGATGAAATTCAGTACTTTTACAAATGAAGACATCTAAATGACCCTCAAGCTTTTGAAAAGGCACTAAGTTTCACTAAGCATTAAGAGAAAAAAATCTAAATTAAAACCACGATGTGGCGCCACTGTTATCCATGAAAATGGCGAGGATAAAAATGGAGTAAGCAGTGCTAGGGAGAGGGTGAGCAGTGAGACTGCGCATGTGCTGCTGGTGAGGGCGTGGCTGGCGCTGTGAAGTCTCTCCACACGCTCTCTAAAGCTACACCTGTGCGCAGCCTGTGAGCCGGCAGTCAGACTGCACCTGTGCGGCCGGTGAGGGCGTGACTGGCGCTGCGGACACTCTCGACGGCTCCCTAAAGCTGCACATCCATTTCCGCGCCCAAGTTTATAACCTACAGAAGTGCGTGTTTATTCACAAGACACACGTCACAATGCACTTAGCTAGAAGCACTAAGTATCTCCCCATGAAAAATTATACTGATGCCAATTATCCTAGTGATCTATTGCTGCATAAGATAAAAATGAGTCCTAACAGAGAGCTATATAGCCCTTGCTTTGTTTTGGATTTTTTTTCTGTGTTGAATAATATTCTATGTTAAAAAGGTAGTGTTTTGTGCTCATCTGACCCTCCCTTGATGAACATTTACTTTCCAATATTTTACTATGATGAACAATGGTGAGATGCATAGCAGTCATTCCACACAAGTGCACACACTACAGATGATGTCTAGAAGTGGAATTGCTGGCTCACAGTGATAGGCAATGTGTCTTCTGTAGAGGTTGTATCAATCTGTACTCCATTCCCTAATGTGCTTCATTCTTCTCTGATACTTTAAACAGACCAGAAAAACTGTGTGGGGGTCTTGGTGGTTTCTGCATCAGGAAGCAAAGAGGAAGGTCTGGAGAGACTGCGCAGTGGTTAAGAGCACATAACATTGTTGCAGAGGACCCGTGTCAGGCAGCTGGCAACGGCCTGTAACTCCAGCTCCAAGGAATCTGATGTCCTCTTCTGGCCTCTAGTGACACCACACTCAAACGCTCAACCCCTCCTCACACACATGTCAATAAAAACTTACAAAAATAAACATATGTTATATATGTTTATATATAAACATACACATACGTATTTTTGAGAAAGGGTCTGGTCTCATGTAGCTCTGACTATCCTGGAACTCACTAGGTAGACCAGACTGGCCTTGAACTCACAGAGATCCTCCTGCCTCTCAGGGATTAAAGGCGTGCACTGTCCAACAGTTTTATGAACTTAAAAGAATAAAGGCAAACAGATCAGTCGTCTATTAACTGATCATAAGAATTGGTTCCAGCATGAGCCTTTTGCTAGTCCTGAATCCCTGCAGAACCCTACCTGACCCTTACTGTTGTCAGAGGCCGCTGTCTGTACAGCCTTGGTTTCAGAACTTAATTACCTCTGCAACTGGTTGTCCTGTCTGTAGACAATTCCTCTCTGAATGTCTTCTCTCCCCATCCCCACCTGCCGTCTCCTAGCCCTTCCCGGGACTCAAATGAAATGTCCCCTTCCCCATTTCACAGTACCATGACACTCCCATGGAGAATTCTCAATCGTAGCTCCAGTTGCTAGGAACATAATCGCTCACTGTGTCGGTTAAACTTCATTGTCGGCTTGATGGGCTATGACACAAAGAGGCACACCTCTGTGCCAGCCTGTGAAGGTGTTTCCAAAAATAACTAACCGAGTGAGAAAGACCCTCCCTCACAGTGGGCGACACTTCCCAAGGGGTGGCCGTGGCCCTTGGATAGAATGAGGTCTGAAGAGAAAGCGGTGTCACCTGCAGACCTTGGCTTCTTGCTGTTGTGTCTGCTGCCCCCCGCCACCGTACTCCGCTGAAGTCATTGTCCAGCTTCTCACGAAGTCCAGTAACAAGCAGGGATCCTCCAGGCCTTCGGCATCAAATTGGGACTGCTGTGTCTTCTGGCTCGCGGACTAGGCAGATAGCCCTTCCCAGGCTCTCCAGGGTGTAGAAGGCTAACTTTGGACTACTCAGTCCTATCCTGAAAACCATTCCAAGAAAGTGCACTTTTTTCATGTATATCCATTCTGTCTGTTCTGTTCCCCTGGAGAACCCTGCCTCATCCACCCACACGCTTCTTCTCCCACAGTGAACTTCAGGATAGATGCCTCCTCCTCTTTGGGCCATTGCCTCTGCACACTGTGCCTGGCACATCACCTTCACAGGAAGCTTGCTGAAGGGTGTGGGAAGAGCGCAGTTGTGTAGTGCCTGCTGGGAAACTCGGCTCCCTTCTCCCTTTCCCAGAGGGCCAAAAATATGACACTTTCAGATGTTGACTCCTTTCCATATTTGTGGGATTTCTTCTCCCAGAATCTTCTCTGGTAAAAGTGATGTCCTCAGTGCTTACAACGGTGCCTGGGAGGTGTTCCCTAAACACACGCCAAAATAAGGGAGTGTCTGACCAAAAGGTCTTCTACAACAGAGCTGCAAATTACTTCTGCCTGCTAGATGTGGTCAGAGGACAGCATGTCTTTCTAAAAGCCTCAAGCTTCGGGCTCTCAAATGACAATTCTATGTATTTTATTTACTTCTGGGCGGGGTGGGAGTGGGCAGATCTGGGCTTGTCCACGAGGATTGCCTAAATTAGGTTAATCCAGAAAGGAAAACCTACCCTAAATGTGAGCTGTACCGACCGTGGGCTGGAGTCCCGGACAGAACAGAAAGCGATAGATAGGAAGCCGAGCAGCAGCATTTGCTGCCCTCTGTCTGCTTCCTGGCTGTGAAGGTTGCAACGCCATCAGCTTGCTGTCCACACTCCTGCCCCGTGACTACAGCGCCATGACGATCGTGACGGACTGTACCCTCTAGCTGTGAGCCAAACAAGCCCCTTCTCCGTGAAGCTGCTTTTGTCACACGCTTTTCACATCAGGGAGAAAGTTAGCAATGCAGAGGCTGAGGCAGAGCAAGGCTGGCGAGTTCGAGTTAGGGCGAGTCAGTGCTACACAGTGAGATGATCGTCAAAGGCAGAAAACAAGCACCCCTCCCCCCAAGTTATACTAATAAGGCAACAACGGAAGAAAAGAGAAGGAAAAGGTGGACAGAGACCAAACAGAACACTAGAAATACAGCACAATGATGATCAGACTACCATATTTGCAAAGTCACATTAAATGTAATTAACTCATTAAATAGTAGAGATTATCAGTTTGCATTCAAGACACAACTATATGTTTTCTAAAAGAAACATGTTTGACACGTAAAGAAACGGGCCCAGTAAGATCACTCAGTGGTTACAGACATTTGCCATTAAGCCTGATGACCTGAGTTCAATCCCCAGGACCCACATGGTGAAAAGAGAGACCAGGCGTCCCAAAAGGTTGTTCTTTGGCACAAGCACATGTACACAATACACACACACACACACACACACACACACACACACACACACACGTAATTTAAGGAGAAGAAATTTGATAAGAAAAGACAAAAGAAACAATTTGAAAGTAAAAGGATGCCATGCTAAAATGAAAAGGAAACGTGTTTATATAAAATATCAGACAAAACAGACTCACTGCGGGCCAGGGGGCGGGTGGCAAGAACAGCACAGGTCATTTTAGGGTCCACCAAATGGACATGACGGCACAACTGTATGTGCATCCAACACCGGCTGTAAAACACATGATCCCAAAAGTGACAGAACTGCCAGGAAAAATAGACACATCCCTATCCTGGTACTGCAACAGGCGGGAAACCACAGAGCTACAGGAGATACCACCAGCTGACTTGACCTCACGGACATTTACAGAACCCACAAAAACTGCAGCATCCATGTTCTTCCTGAGAGCACACGGACTCATTACCAAAGCAGGCCATGTTTTGAGCATAAAACAATTTAAATTATTGCTAAAAATATCCAAGTCGTACAATGCATAGTCCCTAATCACACTGAAATCACATTAGACACCATTAGCAAAAAGTTCTCTAGAAAACTCCCAAATATTTGCAAGTTAATTAGCAATAGTGTATTCATAAATAGCTAGTGAGTGAAACAAAAACTTGAAAGAGAAATTAGAAAGTATTCTGAATTGGGTGAAAATGGAAACATGAACGAGGCATTTGGCACACAGCACAGCCACAGCACTCGTGGGGCATATGAGGCAGGAGGATTGTGAGTATAAAGTCAGCCAGGGCTATAAAGTGAGACACTATCTCAAAATAAGCAAATAAAGAAATAAATAAAATATAAAAGAAAACATGACTCATTCACATATGTGAGTCATTGCTAGATACACGGTACAGAGCCAATTTTTGCTGTCGTTGCTCATTTGTTTGTCTGTTTTTGAGATAGGGTTTCATGTAGCCCAGGCTATCCTTTAACTTACTATGTAGCCAAGGATAACTCTGAACATCATATCCCGTTGCTTTTGTTTCCTGAGTGCTGGTATAGGTTTGTGCCACCACAGCTGGTTTTGGAATGGTGCTGGGAATTGATACCAGAGCTTCGTGAATGCTAGGCAATCACTCTACTGAGCCAGCGACATCTCGGCTCCAGCACCTGTAAAATTTTAAAAGGTGTCAAATCAATACTAGCTTCCAGCAGAAGATAAGAAACAAGTAAAACTGGAAAGAAAAGAAAACTAAATGAGGAATAGAAGGAAAAATCAATAAGCTTTAAACATAGAAATGTGACAGTTATGTTGACACTGGCTTTTAATCCCAGCACTCAGGAGGTGGAGGTAGGTGGACCTTTGTGAACTCAAGGTCAGCGTGGTCTATATAGTGAGTTCCAGGACAGCCAGAGCTACATATCAACACCCTGTCTTGAAAATAAATAAAAGTAATAATAATAATAATAATAAAAATAGAAAAGCTCAAACTTCAATATAGATGCAACAGACTTAAAACAGATTCAAGCAATTCTAAATTCAATAGGGAAAAATTAAAATAATAGTTAAAATCAATGAACTGAAAGTTGTTTCTTTTTCTTTTGAGAAATGTCAGCAAACTGGTAAGCTTTTAGCAAAATATCCTGGTTTGCTGTCTATTGCTGCGATAAAGCACTATGGCCAGAAGTAACTCGGGAAGGAAAGACTTTGTTTGATTTACAAGTCTGGATTCCAGGGCATCAGGAAGGGAAGTTAAGGCAGGAACTGAAGCGGAGACCCTGGAGGAGTTCTGCTTACTGACTTGCTTCATGTGACTTATTTAGTTTGCTTTTCTATGCTCCCCAGAATCACCTGCCCAGGGGTGACGCCATCCACAGTAACTAGGCCTTCCCATATCAATCAATCCCATAATAGAACACTACTAATGAGTACAAAGTTTCTGGTGGTAACAGCATTCTCAAATTGTAGCAATGGCTGCAAAATTGAATGCTCTAAATTGAACTGCATGTATACTTTAAATAAATTTTATAGTATGGGAATTATATATATGTCAATAAAGTTGTTATTTAAATAGCAGTAAATTCCAAACTTAAAAAATAAAAAGCTGTATGATGGTGGTGCATGCCTTTAAACCCAGCACTCGGAGGCAGAGGAGAGGTAGACAGATCTGTGTGAGTTTGAGGCCGGCCTGGTCTACAGAGTGAGTTCCAGGACAATCAGATATACACAGAAAAACCCTATCTCGAAAAACCAAAAAAAAAAAAAAAAAAAAAAAAAAGTTCCAAAATGATAAGGATTTTGAATTTTGCCTATTTTTTCTTTCTTACTTCACATGTATTTATTCGTATGTGTGTGTGAGAGAGAGAGACAGAGACAGAGAGAGAGAGAGACAGAGAGACAGAGAAAGAATCAATTCCCACCATGTGGGTCCTGGGGACCTGTCAACAGTTATCAGACTTGGTGGCAAATGTCTTCACCCCAAATCTTACCCGTCCTGACTGCTCTATACCAGTCTGTGGTTGTAACTCCAACACCGAAACAAGGTCTGGTAAATAGTGGTGAGTACAAACAAAATAGCGATTGAAGGAACGCGTGCAAAAGCCCCGCGTCAGGAAAGAGCCTGCTTCTTCAGTTCAGCAGAGAAAAGAAAGCGCAGCGTGTGAACTGGGATGACTCTGGGAGTCTGCACCCAATTGTTTGAGTCTCCAGAGAAAACAGCGCGGAGCCACAGAAGGGCTTTAAGGGAAGGTGGATCGGATTTGCATTTGAAAAGAACACTGACAGCAGGAGAAAGAGGCAAAGACTGGGGCTTAAAAAGTTGGACTTAAAAAGTTAGTGACCTCGGGGGAAAAATCAGTCCAGGTGGAGCGTGAGACTGACGACTGGAGGGGGGTGGGAGGCAAGTGTCACCCACAAAACTACACTACTCTCAGCAAGGCCTCTCCTTCCGCCCTATGTCTCCAGGGAAACAGCCCCAAAATATACTTGGCTTAAAAAGTAACAAAGACATGTTCCTATGAATATTCACGCACAGCCGGCTCTGCTCACCGGTCCATTCAGAGTCTGTTCAAGAACTGCTCGCCCCGTCAGTGGAGGATTCATGACTGCCGTTCTCAGTTCCCACCAGATGCCTTCTTCCTGCAGTAGAGGAGGCAGGAGGACAAAGAGAGGCCGCGAGAGACCTAAGCGCCCTTGTTCCAGGCCTTACCCTGCCTCCCTTTGGAACTATATAACCTAGAACCCAACATGGCGACCAGCAGACAGCGGGAAGTTCTAGAATAACGTGCTTGCCACTGGTGCGACTAAATGTTTAAACTAAGAACTGAAAAGACTGGCTTCTAGCTGAGGTAAATTTTCCGGCCACGGGCAAAACCACAAGCAAGCAATGTAACTTCACTGGGCGTCCATCGTCTCAAGAACGAGGAGACGGGCGCCTGCCCTGGCCTAGGAGAGATGCCAGGAGACGGCAGTTATACAAGGAGAGATCTAGGTTTTCTGAGATCAGAACTCAGAATTTCAATAAACCCCAAAGAAAAGGAATATGACTGGGCAGTAGTGGCATACACCTGTAGCCCCAGTTCTCTGGAAGCAGAGGCAGGAGGATCTCTGAGTTCGAGGCCAGCCTGGTCTACATGGCAAGTATTAGGACAGCCAGGGCTACACAGAGAAACCGTCTTGGGAAAATAAGAAAAAAAAAAGACTATAAACACAAATACAAAAGCAGATATAAATGTGAACGTTTACTTATAATGGGAGAAAAACTACATCCAAATCCCAAAACCTGAAAGTTAATATATACCAAAAATTCACACAATCTTTGTTTAAAACAGGATCTGGCTACACCACTCAGGCTAGCCTCTGACTCCCAGGCTCAAGTCAGTGAGCCTACTGACGTAGCCTTTCAAGCACCCGGGACAATTGCACCCCACTGTACTGGCTAAGCTATGCATTATTCAATGGATTCTTTTTAATATTTATTAGTGTGTGTGTGTGTGTGTGTGTGTGTGTGTGTGTGTGTGTGTGTGTCTGTGGGAGTGTGTGCAGACACCCATGGAAGCCAGAAGAGGGCACTGGATTCCCTGAAGCTGGAAGTTGCAAGCAGACGTGAGTTGCCCAGTGTGGATGCTGGGAACCAAACTCGGGTTCTTTAGAAGAGCAAGAAGAGCTCTTAATCTTCGAGTCATCTTTCTAGGTCCCATCTTTAATGACTCTTTAACAACCACAATTTTACATTATTTCCTATGGAGAAAATAGAAAGCTCATTCAATCTTTCCTCTTGCATGATTGATCAAAATGTGTTATTGATGCAGTGCAATATCCCCTTATCCTCAGCAGATATTCATATATATATATATACATATACATATATATATTGATATACATGATATATATTGTTGTAAGAGGAGGACCAGGCTACATCCCGCCTGACTCCCAGGCGCCCGGCTAGCTCAGTTGGTAGAGCATGAGACTCTTAATCTCAGGGTTGTGGGTCCATGCCCTACTTTGGGCGCCAGATAAAGTGTGAAACAATCCCACACCGGCTTGGATTTAAAGGGTTATTTATTTGAGGGGAAAAAACTTACAGAACACCATCATACATGACAGCCAGGAAAGGAGTCTAGTCTCTGGAGCAAGAGAGTGAGCAGAGGGCTGCCGCTGCTTTTTAAAGAGAAAGAGACCACAACCCATTGGGCTGGTATCTTAACGGCTATTGGCTGAAAGAGCGGAAGGAGCTCCCACAGCAATATATCACATAATATATAATATAGTATATATCACATGATATATGTGATATACACTATATATGTGTATGTGTATATATATATATATAAAACTTCTTTATTGACTCTTTGGGAGTTTCACATCATGGACCCCAATTCAGTTTGCCTCCTGATCCCCATCTTCCCCTCATTCCTGCCACACACCCCATAAGGAAACAAATCAGAACAAGCAAGCGAATAAAAACAAAATACAAAGCAAAACAAAAACAAAACACAGAACAACAACAAAATCTCTTTGCTTTTCCTTCCTTCCTGCTTCCCTAACACCTCTTGGTTAGTCCTGGTGGCAGTGGAGGCTTCAGTGTGCCATAGAACATGCTTCTTTTCCTATTAGTTTTTCTCAAATGTCTACTGCAATGAGTCTCTGGTCTGGTTCAAGGCCCCTGGTTTCTGGTCCACCATCATCACTGGGTCCTCACCCAGAGCCCAATGGGTTATCCTGATCCTGTAGCTATCACAAGTCGCGGAGATCTTGCGGTTATCGCCCCAGGAGATATTTTGCAACCCCAATAGTTCCTGAAACTGCACATAATGCCAATCCTGTGTATGTATGCTATGCTTTTCCTATATATAAATATCTTTATAAGTACTATTTTTTAAATCAATCACAACGAGGCAGATTATAGAGGATACTAGGGTAGCAGCTAAGCAGTTAGGGCCCTGGTGAGACAATGTTAAATTGCTGCTAAAAACGTTGGCAATGAGCTTTTATTACAAGCATTCTATTTTTCCTTTTAAAAAGCTAAGATGGAAGTTGGGACAATACGAGGCTCTAGTTGATAGTTTTATGCCTTTTCCTGGTGTTTCAGCTCTCTTGGGCGAAGGACTGCTGTCCAAGCCACCAGGCAGACTGTCTTCAGGCCAACACTAGCAACGTTGAACACTCCACTGGTACCTTGAGGAAGCTGCATGGCAATCAGTGCTGCTTGCTGTAGGTAAACAGCTTCAGCTCTAGAAGACACTATCCTGCTTGTGACTGCCTCAGCTTGCAGCAGACTTTTTACAATCCCAAACCTTACTAAACTCTGAGTGACTCTACAGCCATTTCTACTCAGGCCAGGAGAGAGCATTTGCCCTGGGGGTCTAACGAAAGAATGACAGCTGGTACAAGTGCGTACAGAAGGGATTTCCTTTGGAAATCATGAGCCACACTAAATCCCCCTCCTCTGTTTCTATTAGATAGCAGCCACAATGAGAAGGAAAGTAACTGCCAGGCCTCTAGCTGCATAAGCAGGCCCTTAGGCTAACTCTGTGAGTAACTAGGTAGACATCTCCCTGCGCTGCCCCTCTACACCATGCCGAAACATGAGGCCCACTAGAAGGTTTCTCTTTGGTGTCCTTTCCTTGCCTATCTTTGATCTCTATAGTTAATAAAAGAAGCTGAGCTTGTACCACGGAGAGGACAACAGAAGTGGCAGCGGAGAGGTGTTAGTGGCCACAGCAGCAACAGCGGCAGGGGCTGTGGGAAGGTAGCCGAAGAGTTCTAGATCGTGATCGGGCCAGAAATTGTGGGAAACAGGTGTTGGAGAGGTGTGAAGGGCTGAAAAGAACTTAAGGACAAGAAGTTACAGGCCCTGGTCACCAGGGAGCTGCCAAGTTCTAAGGATCAAGGGTCTCCAACACCCCAGTTCCAAAGATGCAACACTTGTTGCTGTAGGGCGTAAGGGTGGCAGCGTCTGAGGCTTATACAAGAACAGCAGCCACTGCCTTCGACTGCTGGCTGCTCCCGACCGCTGACTCCCATTGCTACCGACGTTAACAGTTTACAATGGCTGCCAAATGTCAGGGCTTAAAAGCCAGAACATTAAGCCTTCAAGATGTGCATGGCTGGAGCCGTACATTTCTGAATTCTAATTCTGTAGCATAGAGCCTCTAGCTCTCAGGGCTTAGAGCTTTTTGGAGTCCAGCCCCTGGACCTTGAGTGCTTAAAGACCAGGGATTGTCAGCACCGGAATAATGTTTACCTACCAGCCCACAAGTTATTCGTGTGTTTCTTTTCTCCTCCTCTTCTTCTAAGGCAGGTTTCATGTAGCCCATGGTGGCCTTAAATTCACTATGTATCCGGCCTTTAACTTCCTGCTTCCATCTCCCAAGTACTGGACTTATAAAGATGCACCACCACGCATTTCTTGCGTTTTTTTTCAAATATTTATTTATTATCTATACTATATTCTGTCTGTGTGTATGCCTGCAGACCAGAAGAGGGCACCAGACCTCATTACAGATGGTTGTGAGCCACCATGTGGTTGCTGGGAATTGAACTCAGGACCTTGGGAAGAACAGGCAATGCTCTTAACCGCTGAGCCATCTCTCCAGCCCCCACCACCACCACCACCACCACCACCATGCATTTCTAACTATAATGTCTATCTCAGTAGAGTGAAAGGACCAACAGTTGGGAACCTCCTTCAGCCAATAGCCTTTGAGAGGCTGGGCCAGGTTGAGGCGTGGCTTTGGGTACCAAAAGGCCATTCGTCCCTCTTCCCATGCGCCACACCTAGATGTTGGACCCCCGTCCCTGTAGTGAGGAACTGCAGGCAGGCCTGCTTTTCGTCCTACCCGGCTCCCGCAAGGCTAGCTTAGCCCTGGAAATAACAACACACAAATTGTATTCATTTAAACACTGCCTGGCCCATTATCTCTAGAGAGTTAGTTACTGGCTAACTCTCACATCTTGATTAACCCATCTCTAATAATCTGTATAGCACCACGAGGTGGTGGCTTACCGGAAAAGATTCAGCATGTCTGACCTGGTGGCTGGCTCCATGGTGTCTGCCTCACTGCCCTCTTCCCAGCATTCTGTTCTGTTTACTCCGCCTACCTAATTTTCTGTCCTAACAAAGGGCCAAGGCAGTCCCTGTATTGACCAATGAAAATAACACAATAGACAGATAACCCTCCTCCATCACGTCCCTGTTCCGCGAGTTTCCTTTTTTAATAGATAAAAACCTTAGTATACTCTATTTGGAGTTAGCTTGGGGTTATCTGACTTGCGTTCCCCTCCTCCCCAATTTGATGTGTTCTGCATCAACAAGATACAAACTATTTATAATACAACTAATAAAAGTTATGTATAACTATAGGTTTCCCTCTGGTGAGATACTGGCATGAACATCATGGAATAACCAACTACTGTTTGGTTGAATTTGAGGCTCCTTTCACAAGGGGAAGATTTATGCTTGGTACTACAAATCTAGTTCAACCCATGGCTACGGAGTCATAGACCCAAGGAGGAAACCTACTGCTGTTGTTCTGTGAAGTAGACATGCTGTCAAACTACCTTCTAAATATTTGTCTACAGCCATACGTCTTAGTTAAAGTTATCATTTTTGTGATAAAACACCATGACCAAAGCATGGGGAGGACAGGGTTTATCAGGCTCACACTTCCCCATCATTGTTCATCACTGTCGGAAGTCAGGACAAGGCGGGAACCTAGAGGCAGGAGCTGATGCAGAGGCCTTGGAGGGGTGCTGCTTACAGGCTTGTTCCCTATGACTTGCTAAGTCTGCTTTATTATAGAACGCAGGACCACCAGCTAGGATGTGTGTCCTCCCACAATGGATGGGCCCTCCCCCATCAGTCAGTAATTAAGAAAATGCCTTGGGCTGGAGAGATGGCTTGGAGGTTAAGAGCACTGGCTGCTCTTCCAGAGGACCTGAGTTCAATCCCCAGCAACCACATGGTGGTTCACAACCATCTGTAATGAGACCTGGCACTGTCTCCTGGAAAGTGTATATATAATAAATAAATAAGTTAAAAAAAAAAAAAAGAGCCAGGCAGTGGTGGCGCACGCCTTTAATCCTAGCACTCGGGAGGCAGAGGCAGGCGGACCTAGGTGAGTTCGAGGCCAGCCTGGTCTACAAGAGCTAGTTCCAGGACAGGTTCCAAAACCACAGAGAAACCCTGTCTCGAAAAACCAAAAAAGAAAGAAAGAAAATGCCTTACAGGTTTGCCTGTAGCCTGATCTTCGGGAGGCTGTTTCTCCTTTCTGATAGCTCTAGCTTGTGTCAGGTTGATTCAAAGCTGTCAAGCACATCATAGGTTAGTACTGCTTACAGCCTTGGTCACAAAGCTTCTTTCTACATCGTGCAGTTAATGCCGAGATTTGTAACTGGTCAAATAGCTGAGACTAAGATTAGGCTGTCGAGTGGTCAGTCCTAAAGGAGACCTCTACATACACCCCACCTCCACCTGCAAAGGCTTAGAGCACACTACAGAGGAGGGGGATGGGGGGAATGCCACACCCAAAGCATGGAGGAGTGCTGTGATGAACCAGCCTGCCTCCATCTTAGACCTGAAAGCCACCTCACAGTAAAGACAAGCTGAACCTATTCCTGCTTATGACTAAATCTGTTTCTCAAGGATTGGGCTATGTCCCACATGTAACCTTAACAACAAATGGTTCTGTACTGCCTATTCCAGGAAATGGCAATCAAGTCTTTGTTTCAAAAACTTGTTATGACCACCTTGCAACCATGCCTTTGTTTCGAGGTTTCTATGTCTACCTTGTTATGTTCTGCTCCTGTAACCCCGCCTGTTTGCTTGCCAAATCTCTCATTTGGAAACCCCCTTACCCCTGAGCCCCTTATCTTTGGGGCTAGAGAGACAGCTCCGTAGTTAAGAACGCTCGCTGCTCTTCCAGAGGACCCAGGTTCAATTCCCACATGGCAGATCACAGCTACCTGTAACTTCAGTTCTAGGGGAGCCAACACCCTCATACAAACATATATGCAGACAAAACACCAATGCATGTGAAAAAATAAATAAATAAAAAATTTAAAAACAACCCCCCAAAAAATTCCTTATCTTCCCCATGTTCAATGCTGACTCCATGAAAGCCACCTTAGAGGAAGGCAGCCTAAGTATACAAAAAAAAAAAGTCCAAGTATACAAATTTTTAAAAAAAAAAAAAAAAAAGCTTGCTTTAATTAACTCAGTCAATATGATTCGGGTTGGTGGTCTTTCTCCCTGCATCTTTGGGATTAATAGTAGTCACTGGTAAGCTGACCACGAACCAGTACAAAGTCCATACCATGCACATAAAGGTCACCCTAATTAAGCTTATTAGGTTATTTTTTCTTTAATATATAAAAGTGTGAGAGAAATTTGTGGCAAGTTTCAGGAGGGAGATAAGAGGGAAATGGGGTGTGTGCGATAAAAATACATTATATACAAGAGTTTTAGCATTTTTATTGGTGTGATTGAAAACAAAACAAAACAAAAAAGACAAAAGCATCTTGGGGAAGAAAGGGTTTATTTCATCTTACAGCTTGTAGCCCAGTGGCTGTCAGCCTGTGGGGTCGTGACACCCTTGGGTCAAACAACCCTTTCAACAAAGTTTGCATATCAGATGTCCTGCATAGCAGGCATTTACATTAATGATTCATAACAGTAGCAAAATCAGTTATGGAGTAGCAACAAAAATAATTCCATGGTTGGGAGTCACCACAGCATGAGAAACTGTATTAAAGGGTCGCAGCATTAGGAAGACTGAGAACCACTGGTGTCATCCATTGTCAGGGAAAATGGAGGAGGTAGGAACTGAAGCGGAGGCCATGGAGGGGTGCTGCTTTGATTTGTTCTGTGGCTGCTCAGCCCTTCTTACAGCACATAGGGCCACCAAGCCCACAATGAGCTGGGCCCTCTCACATCAATCAACAATCAAGAAAATGCACCATAGGCCAATCTGGCAGAGGCATTTTCTCAATTGAGGTTCCCGCCTCCAAAATTATTCTAGCTTGTGTCAAGTTAACATAAAAACCAGCCAGTACATGTATAAGGCTGTCAAAGAATTTTTTAAAATTTTAAAACAATAAATTATTTCAGCAATTTCCTAAATTTTGGACCACAACTCCTATGATAACCAAAACACTAAAGAAAAGATGGGGATTTACAAACATGCTAGCTTGGATTATTATTTCAGGATAGTCGTTGATTTGGGGAAAATCTTTTTCAGGCTTCTTGTCTCTAAGAGTTATGATATCAAGAAATTCATATTATTTTGTGTAGTAACTAATCTTTTATATTATGCAATTCTTCTGATGCCAGGCGTCCTGGGTCCAAATGACCTCAGGCATATTCAAGTCGGGTTTATAATTCCGAGCAGAGTGGATTAGAGGCTGTCCCTCCGGAAATGCATACTAGCTACGTAAATACACCTCACTAAACTCCTCCGAAACGCCCATAGAACACTCCAAGGTCCCCGGATCCCGAATTCAGCGGTCACAATAGCTCTGAACTACTTACATTTTACTGTCTACAAATAAGACCGTTTGAGCGTAGTTAAGGCTCCTTCCACGATCCCTGAAGCCTGGGTGACACAGAGGGTGCAGAAGGCCACTCACCTGCCCTCTCCCCCACTCCTCCACCCAGGCTCTACACAAGGCAAAAGGCGCGGGTGGGAGGCCCACGGGAGCTGCAGGAGCCCAACCCCACGCCGCGGTCTTCGCTGGCCCACCTCCACTCGAGCAAGCGACCCAGACCTACGGCCAGATCCCGCCAGCTTTCAAGAGCGAGCTCCGCAGGGCCCACCTCCCACTTCCGCACCGGGAACCGGGGCTCTCGCTAGATCTCGCGAGAGCGAGTCTACTCGCCCGCCGGAGTCAACCCGGGTCACCGCCCAGCCGTGCTGCTTGGGCTGGATCCTGGGGTCGTAGCTTCTACCCGGGCCGTTTTTTATTAGCACGAGCAAGGTTACTAAAGCCGTTGGTCTAGTTCAGAGAACAACTTGCCCCAAAGAATCGCATTCGGAGGCGAGGGACGAGGTGTTGACCTGAAAACTCAGGTTACTGTTGCGCTTTAAGTGCATCACACTGGTAGTAGCCCCTAGAGAAATACATTATGTATTTTATTTACTTACTTACTTACGTACTTGCTACTCTTGTTACACAACTGAGCAAATTAAGACTCCCAAGAGTTGAAGGAACCTGCTGAGGCCCGCAGACTGCGGCCGGACCTCATTTCTGTAGTACAGCAGTGGTCAACAGGTCTCTCCACCTCTTAGATTTCTAGGGAATGCCGTTGACCAGATTTGGGTCCCCACCGCCTCATGAAAATTTCAGGACCTCATGAAAATCCAGAAGCTTTTTGCTCAACCTTCCTTTTTTTTTTTTTTATTTAACTTTATTTCATGTGCTTTGGTATTATGTCTCTTGAATCTGCTGCGAGCTGCCATGTGGGTGCTGGGAATGAACCCGGGTCCTCGGGAGGAGCAGTCAGTGCTCTTAACCACTGAGCTATCTCAGCAGCCCCCTTTGCTCAACCTTTCTGAGATGTGTTCTTCTGCTGGTACGTGCAATAATAATAATTTATCATAGAACTATTGGGTACGATGAACACTCCATGTTTATTTCATAGTAAGCTTTCAAAAAACGGCAACTATAGCTATTAATTCTTTTTCCTTCCCTTAACGTGTTGTATTTGGTGTGGGAAGTGCTAAAACCACAAGTGAATGAATGGAGGAAGAAATAAAAAAAAAAAATTCGGGCCAGACACCAGCTGGTCGTCACCTCCAACCCACTCAGCTCTTACTTCTCAGATATGGTGTCACTTCAGAGGCCTTCCTTGAATAGAGACATGGCTGTCTGTCTGTCTTCTTTTCCCCAAACGATTATATATTAGTGTCACTAAAATAACATACAGAAAAGTATGCAAATCTTAAGGGTGTCTAAGTTTTCTCAAAATGAACACAGTATGTATAGCAATACCAGTTTCCAGAGCCTGGTCACACCCGCTTCTAGTCATGCCTCCCCCTGCCAGGGTCACCACCGTCCTGCCTTCTATTAGAAGTTTATTAGTCTATTAGAAATTTGTTCTGCCTGCCTTGGTAGGATTTAACTGGAATCCTTTAGTGTGCACTCTCCTGTAACTGCCCAGATCTCCCTGTGTGTCCTGCCTGAAGTAGGAAGTAGTCCAGGGGAGCCCCCTTTCATGTGGATAAGACTGCTGCCAGCCAGGTCCTACCCACTTCAATATCTGCCTCTCTGAGACTGCCCTGTGTTCTATGCTCCCCTCCTCCTACCTGGAGTCCTTTTCTCCACTGGAGGTGAGAAAACCTTTAAAGAACTTTTTCTCACCTCATCCCCTGGGGATGGTACTAAGGATAGCATGGCCATCCCCGGTCTCATGGGATTCTAAGCAAGGTTCTTCCATCTGCTTTGTCTAGTGCTTGCTGCCCCATCCTGTCCCCAGCAAGGCCTCATTCTTCTGTTGAGCTCTCAGGGGTGGCAGTGGGGGCTGCAGTTCCCGCCTATAGTCTGATGTTTGCCACCATCTCCCAGCCCACAGTACAAGACTGCTTAATATTAACCAAGACCCTAAATATGGATGTCCAAAAGATTCCCGACCATGCACTTAAAGGACTTGACTCAAGAATCTGGAAGTTCCACCAGGAGGAGGCGATGTTGCCTGACGTCCCCCTCACACACACCCTCCCCCCAAAAAGCTTTGTCAGGAAGGCCCCTTACACAGATGCCATTAAACCCATGTGACTCTGATAGAAACAGGGCTCCCATAAATGAAAACATTTATCTAAATCATGTTCTTCATAAACGTCGAGACCTTAGGAGTCCCACATACTACAGACCTGGATTCTGACTATAACCACAGGAGACTAGCACAGGTCTTTCGGTATAACTGATCCTCCAAGCAGTCTTAACCTGAATACGGCAGCTTCTGCCTGTAATTCTGGTTCTCACAACACTGGGACAGGAAGACTGAGTTTGTGACCATCCTGGAATTCTTTTCTAAAAAGAATTCTGGGAGCTACAGAGATGGCTCAGCGGTTAAGAGCATTGCCTGTTCTTCCAAAGGTCCTGAGTTCAGTTCCCGGCAACCACATGGTGGCTCACAACCATCTGTAATGAGGTCTGGTGCCCTCTTCTGGCCTGCAGACAGAATATTGTATACATAATGATAATGATAATAATAATAATAATAATATAAACCTTTAAAAAAATTAAAAAAGAATGCTGGAAGAAATTATTCGGGATGAATGGTGGCTTATATAGGTTAAGAGCATTAACCACTCTTGCAGAGGACCCAGGTTCAATTCCCAGCACCCACACCATGGCTTACAATGTCTACAATTCCAGTTCCAGGGGATCTTGTGCTCTCTTCTGGCCTATACTGGCATCAGGCACTCAAGTGATATATAGACATAGACATAGGCAAAACACCCATCTGCATAAAGTGTTAAAGTTAAAAAAGAAAATTTCAGGAGAGGGATTGGTGAGTTGTAACAGTGGGTAAAAGTTACTGCTGCACAATACAAGCCTGACACCTGTGTTTGGTGCCCAGATAAGAGGGCTGGAGAGATGGCTGTTCTTCCTAAAGGTCTAGAGCTCAATTCTCAGCAACCACATGGTCATGCTCACAAAAATCTATGGTGGGATCTGATGCCCTCTTCTGGCATAAAGCTGTATATGCAGATAAATAAGTAAATAAATAAATGTTGAAAAAAATCAATTCCACAAAGTTGTTCTCTGACCTACACTCAGAGAGAGAAAAAATAAATAAAAATTATTATTAAAAATTCTGAGAGATGGGTGACTTTATAGTCCAGAAAAGGTCCAGAAAAGTTATTTTGTTCCAGGTCGTGAGGGTAGTGAGAAATAAAATGAATCCAACCTCACCACCTTATAGATAGGCACAAATCCTAGAATCAGCCCAGACCCAAACAGTGGACAAGGGGCTGGAGAGATGGCTCAGTGGTTAAGAGCACCGGCTGCTCTTCCAGAGGTCCTGAGTTCAATTCCCAGCAACCATATGGTGGCTCACAACCATCTGTAGTGAGAACTGGCGCCCTCTTCTGGCGAGTGGGCATGCAGGCAGATTGTTGTATACATAATAAGTAAATAAATAAATTTTTAAAAAAAACAGTGGACAATACGTTGGCATGAAGCTCGGTCACCATGGGTCTTCACAAAGTGATTCACTGAGCCATCAAACTTCATAATTCTCCTTAGAAGTAGCAGTAGCCTGTGTCAGGGCTGAGGGAACTCTTGGAGGCGCAGCCCTCAGAGCACAGTGGCTACAGCCCCCTACCCTGTGGTCGCTGATGAAGGGCAGTCCTCAGAGCAAAGCGACTACAGCCCCCTACCCTGTCTCCTCCTGAGACCGGATTTGGTTGAAGTTTCAGATACCTGATATTTTTCAACTCCTACTTACTTCTCGAGATTGATTTTTTTGTTTTTGTTTTTTAAGATGGAGTCTCAGGCTAGCTCAGGATCACCTTTAGCTTCTGATCTTCCTACCTCTGCCTTCCAAATCCTGCCTGGCATTACAGACATGCACCACGATACACAGCTTTATGTGGGGCTAAGGATCAAGCCAGGGGCTTCGCTGTGCCAGGCAAACACTCTACCAACTGGATTACAACTCTAGCCCCCAAGCCTGATTCGAGGCTTCCTGTCAATTCGGGGAGTTACTCAATACCATTCAGGAAACTCTTCTTCCTTGTCAGTGATCAGAGTCCATTTCTGTTGTCTGCAATAAAGAGGCAGACATATATCTATTTTATGTCTATAATATAGATATAATAAATATATATAAATAAATATAAATAATATATATAAATATAATAGATATAATAAATATCTATTGAAAACATCAATGAGAGGAAATGACATGAGCATTATAGAAGGGAAAAATAGAAAGTTCTAATGGGCATGGACCGAAGAGGGAGAACAGACGGAGGCAGTCGTGATGTGTGAGAGTATGGAAAGCATTGACCTTGGGAGCAGGACACCACTGGTATAAATATGGAAAGGAAAAAGGAGAAGGGTGCAGGTGGACAGCAGCAATTTTGAGACAGGATAGGTAGGAAGATGATGTTACAAGGAGAAATAAGCCATTTACAGAGAACTGGCTTGAAGGAGATAGGCATTCATTTATTCATCAGATATTAAGTGTATGCTATATACCAGGAACTGACAGGCATTAAAAAAAAAGCAGTAGAGAAAAAATGACTCAGTTCTTTGATGAACAGATATACATGTAAATAATGAATTTGCATTAGTAAAGTTTGCTTTGGAGTGCTATACACCCACCACAAAACATTTGGCTGGAGGCAGAATTTCAAGAAAAGAAAGAAAGAAAGAGAGAGAGAGAGAGAGAGAGAGAGAGAGAGAGAGAGAGAGAGAGAGAGAGCAGTTTGGGCTTTTGTGGAGTTTTTGACATAGAGGGAAGAGGCAGGCCAGGAAACAGTGAACTGTGGTTAACTTGATGTGAAATGTCATCAAAACAAAGGCCTCTATGAATCCAGGGATTTTTCAATACAAAGATCTGGAGGAATGGATGCCACTTACGAAAAGAGAAGGATTAAGGAATTTCCCTAAAGCTCCAAAAGGGAGTGGAATTGTTTTCAGCCTTTGCCCCCTTTCTTTTTGAATCATTTCATTCAACAGTCATGATGTAGGTGGGAGCAGGAGATTTGCAGTATCTGTGTGTGGGCAAAGGGGACCATTTGATGACAGAGGCACTTGAAGTCCAGCATGGAAGAAGATAATGTCTGCAAGGCGAGTGGATGAAGT